CACAGAAATAAAAAGAACCAAAACAGAAAAGGAAAGAGAAGTACGAAGGAAAAAGAATGAAGAAAGACTTCGAGAACTATCTGACTCCATGAGGAAAGGAAATATAAGAGTTATAGGAATTCCAGAAGGAGAGGAGAGAGATGTAGGAACAGAGAAAATATTCCAGGAGATAATTGAAGAGAACTTCCCAAATGCGAAGAAGGAGCTGAAAATTGATATACAAGAAGCAAGAAGAACACCAAACTTCCACGACGAAAGGAAAAACACAGCAAGACACATAATAGTAAAGCTCCCAAGAATCCAGGACAAGGAAAAAATAATGAAGCTGACAAGAGGGAAGAAACAGATAACATTCAAAGGAAAACCAATCAGGCTGACATCAGACTTCTCTGAAGAAACACTACGGGCAAGGAGAGAGTGGAGGGACATAGTCAACAGACTCCAAGAAAACAGATGCCAACCAAGAATACTCTATCCCGCAAAGCTCTCTTTCCTCCATGAAGAAAGAATATGGACCTTCCCAGACAAAGAGAACTCCGGAATTTCATTACAAATAAACCCCCACTCCAAAAAATACTACAAGGAATCCTAAAGCCAGAACCTCAGAGGGACGAATAACAACGAAAGAAGACCAAAAAAAAAAGTTATTAAAAGAATAAATAAAATCAAAGGAAAGACAAACATAATGGCAAATACAGATGCTAACATATCAATATTAACTCTAAATGTAAATGGACTAAACTCTTCAATAAAAAGACACAGAGTTGCAGCCTGGATTAAGAAAACAAAACCCAACCTTTTGCTGTCTCCAGGAAACACATTTAGCTACAAAAGATAAAAATAGGCTCAAAGTCAAAGGATGGAAAACAATCCTACAAGCAAATGGGCCAAAAAGAAAGCAGGAACAGCTATACTTATATCAGATAAAACAGACTTCAAACTCAAAAAAATAAAGAGACCCCAATGGTCACTACATTATGATTAAGGGGACAATACTTCAAGAAGAAATAACACTCATTAACATATACTCACCAAACGAAAGAGCACCAAATATATCAGACAACTGTTGTCCTCTCTGAAAACAGACATCAGAGAAAACACATACGTAGTGGGAGACTTCAACACACCACTATCAACAATGGATAGATCAACAAGACAAAAATAAGTAAAGAAACTAAAGCTCTAAATAAGGACCTAGAGCATTTGGGCTTAACAGACATCTATAGAACACTAAACCCAAAAAAAACGGAGTACACATTTTTCTCAAGCGCACACGGATCATTCTCCAGGATCGATCACATACTGGGGCACAAGACAAACATCAACAGATACACCAAGATTGAAATCATACCAACCATCTTTTCTGACCATGAAGGCATCAAACTAGAAATAAATCATAAAAAGAAGGCAAGGAACTATCCTACCTCATGGAGATTAAAAGTCACACTACTGGAAGACCACTGGACTAACGAGGAGATCAAAGAAGAAATTAAAAAATTCTTTGAATTGAATGACAAGGAGGACACCAATATCCTAAATGTATGGGATGCAGCAAAAGCAGTAATAAGAGGAAAATATATAGCAATAGAAGCTCACATCAAGAAACAAGAAAGAACTCAAAGAAACAACCTAATCTCGAAGCTCAAAGATCTAGAAAAAGAACAACAAAAAAACCCAAATCCAGTAGAAGAAAAGAAATAATAAAAACCAAAGCAGAAATAAATGAAATTGAAACTAAAAAAACAATCCAAAAGATCAATGAAACCAAGAGCTGGTTCTTTGAAAAAATCAATAAAATAGACAAACCCCTAGCCAGGCTCACAAAGGAAAAAGGGGAGAAAGCACAAATACACAGGATCATAAATGAAAGAGGAGAAATCACAACGGACACAGCAGAAATCAAAAGAATAATCAGTAACTACTATGAACAGTTATATGGAAACAAGTTCAACAATCTAGAGGAGATGGACAAATTCCTACAACTCTACAATCACCCAAAGCTAGATAAAGAAGAAATAGAACACATAAACAGACCAATTACAAGCAGCGAAATTGAAATGGTAATCAAAAACCTCCCCAAAACAAAAGCCCAGGACCTGATGGATTTACAAATGAATTCTACCAAACATTCAGAGACGAATTAGTGCCTATCCTTCACAAACTCTTCCAAAAAATTGAGAAGGAAGGGACAATACCAAACACGTTCTATGAAGCCAATATTACACTAATACCAAAACCGAATAAGGACAACACAAAAAAGGAAAACTATAGGCCAATCTCCCTAATGAACACTGATGCAAAAATCCTCAATAAATTTTAGCTATCAGAATCCAACAATGTATCCATAAGATAATTCACCACGACCAAGTTGGATTCATTCCAGGGGCACAAGGATGGTTTAACATCCGAAAATCAATCAACGTTATCCAACACATCAACAAAAAGAAATATAAAAACCATATGACAATATCAATAGATGCTGAGAAAGCTTTCGACAAAGTGCAACACCCATTCATGATAAAAGCCCTTGAAATTCTTGGGATACAAGGAACATACCTCAACATCATAAAGGCCATCTATGACAAGCCAACAGCCAGTATCATTCTCAATGGTGAAAAGCTGAAAGCAATTCCATTAAGATCTGGAACAAGACAAGGATGTCCACTCTCACCACTGCTTTTCAATATAATACTGGAAGTCCTAGCCAGAGCAATAAGACAAGAGAAAGACATCCAAGGAATCCAAATAGGAAAAGAAGAAGTCAAACTATCACTATTTGCAGATGATATGATAATATACATAGAGAACCCCAAAATCTCCACAGAAAAACTAATTCAACTCATCGGTCAGTTCAGTAAAGTGGCAGGATACAAAATCAACATGCAAAAGTCAGTAGCCTTCCTATACACAAACAATAAATCTGAAGAAGAAGAAATCAAAAAAACCACCCCTTTTATTATCGAAACAAAAAAAATCAAATATTTGGGAATAAATCTAAAAAAGAGGTAAAGGACCTATACAAAGAAAACTATAAAACACTGTTAAAAGAAATAGAAGAAGACACAAAGAAATGGAAAGACATCCCCTGCTCATGGATTGGAAGAATAAACATTATTAAAATGGCCATCCTACCAAAAGCAATATACAGATTCAATGCTATTCCAATCAAATCTCAATGGCATTCTTCAAAGAAATAGAACAATTATTGATGAAATTCATATGGAATCACCAAAAACCCCGAATAGCCAAAGCTCTACTGAAAAAAAAAGAAGGAAATGGAGGCATCAAACTCCCAGACTTCAAACTATACTACAAAGCCATAATCATCAAAACTGCATGGTATTGGAACAAGAACAGATATACAGACCAATGGAATCGAATAGAAGATCCAGAAATAAACCCACAGATTTATGGTCAACTAATCTTTGACAAAGGAGCAAAGACTATGCATTGGAGCAAAGAAAGTTTGTTCAATAAATGGTGCTGGGAAAACTGGGTCGCTACATGCAAAAGAATGAAGCTTGACCACTACCTCACACCATACACAAAAATCAACTCAAAATGGATTAAAGAACTAGACATAAGACCTGAAACCATAAAATACATAGAAGGAAATATAGGCGAAACACTACGGGATTTGCACATCAAAGACATCTTTACAGACACATCACCCAAAGCAGTGATAGTGAAGGCAAAGATAAACAGCTGGGACTACATCAAATTAAAGAGCTTCTGCACAGCAAAAGAGACAATAACAAAAACAAAGAGAACCCCACCAACTGGGAGAACATTTTTGCACCCAACACTAATGATAAAGGACTGATCACAAAATCTGCAAAGAGCTGATGAGACTCAGCAACAACAAAGAAAATAATCCAGTCAAAAAATGGGCAGAAGAGCTAAAAAGAAACTTCTCTGAAGAGGAAATGCAAATGGCCAACAGACATATGAAAAAGTGTTCAACATCACTTGTCATCAGGGAAATGCAAATCAAAACTACCATGAGATACCATCTTACACCAGTGAGAATGGCACATATTAAAAAAACTAGCAACAACAAATGTTGGCGAGGATGTGGAGAAAAAGGAACTCTTGTGCACTGTTGGTGGGAGTGCAAACTGGTCCAACCACTATGGAGAGCTGTGTGGAGATTTCTGGACCTACTAAACATAGAGCTTCCATATGATCCAGCAATTCCACTCCTAGGTATTTACCCAAAGGACACAGAAACATCAATTCCAAAGAGCACCTGCACCCCTATGTTTATAGCAGCACTATTTACAATAGCTAAGCTTTGGAAACAACCCAAATGCCCAAAAATAGATGACTGGATCAAGAAGATGTGGTACATATATACCATGGAATATTACTCAGCATTCAAAAAGATAAACACATGCAATTTGCAGCAACATGGATGGCGCTGGAAGGGATCATGCTCAGCGAAATTAGCCAAAAAGAAAAAGAAAAATACCGGATGGTCTCACTCATAGCAGGAATCTAGAAAACTTAAATAAGGGACCAGGAAAATGAATATAAGAAAGTGAAAATCAAAATCAACAAAAAACTATGAACCAGAGACACTTTTTGGGGGGTGGGGGGCGGGAGGGAAGGATTGGGGTCAGAATGGGGCGTTTGCAATTGTATGGGGGAATATAAAAATAAAATTTAAGATTAAAAAAAATAAATAAAAAATAAAAGTATTTGCCAATTCCTTCTTTTCCTCCTCCTCTCTCTTCCTGCTGCTTTGAAACAGTCTAGGGACCTGGGCACCAGTACCTGATGAACAAATGAATCAGGTAAGTGGTCAAGATGATTATAGCTTGAAAGCTGTAATTTCACAGATGAATAGCTTGGTAATTTGTAGCATAACACCCCCACCTCCCCATGCTTAAAATATGGTGGGCCTTTTCTATCATGACTTTTACTGGTAGTCAGTTGGAATAACTTTATTTAGTCAAGTCATTTTTAGTGGAGATAGAACACTTTCCAAAGTACATTACCACTGTCACACTGGAATTTATTCTTGCAGTCTACCACTTCAATTTTGCAGAGCTTAGATGGAAGGCATGCTCGCGAAGTCACCAGTGGTTCAGTACATGGTTCTCCTCCAAACTGATGGAGGCGTAAGATGGATCTAACTCTAAACTGGAAGTAAAGGAGAGCAGGGTGAGTAAATGAGGCAGGGTCAAAGCTAAGTGATTTTGAAGAAAACTGGGTTTCTCAATCACTGTGGTTTTTATTTTTTTTTATGATGGTATTTCCTACATTTATTAATAATTTTTCCAGCTCCATTATTGTGTGTCCTTAGAAAAGTCACCTCCCTGGGTCTCAGTTTGCCAACTTGTAAAGTGAGAAATGGACAAAGAGATTTCTAAGACTTCTAACTTTGAAAATCATAGGTTTCTAAATTAAATCAAAAGTACAAATATTTACTGAGTCTTCTGAATGTATTAAATTCTTTAAATAAATAACAATATTCCTTCTGCTTCTCAAAGATAGCATGAAGTGATAAATATGAAAGGATTTTGGGGTTCCTTCACAAAGGGAGGTCACCATGGAAATTGAGGTTGACACATTCTTCACACTTTAAAGATTTTCAATGGGAAGTAGTAAAACAGAGTCAGAGAATGCCAGAAATAAGGCAGGATTAAAAAGTACTGACTTTGAAGTAAAAAAAATCCAAGACACAATATACACCCTCTTTTAATTGATGATGGGTAAGAAGGCACAATGTGATATGAACTTTGAATAAGATGATGTGTGAGGTTAGAACAGTTTCCCTCAAAGAGTGAGTGATCCATGTATGAGTTTAGTTTTTAGCTGTCTTCCCAAATGTGTGAATGCTCAGCACTTTCCCTGTTTGGGATGGGGAGAGGCACAGTTCACATGGGCCACTCTCCTGGCAGGGAGGAGTCTGAGGTAGGTAAATATTGCAATTGGGAACAGCAAACAGAGGGGCTTTCCCACGCAGAGAGGAAAATTAGAGGAGGGCAAAGTATCAGGCTTTTGATTAATGTGCCTCCTTTCTAATTTTAAATCTTGGATGGAAACCCTCATTTCCTAGCACCTGCTTTGCTTTCTAAGCATCTAGAGGACAAAGACAGTGGAATTCAGGGCTGGGCAAGTTCAGTATCAATCCTGGGGCAGATTTTCTTTTTGATGCTCCTTTTTCTTTTGAATTCCTTTTGATAGTAAAACATATAAAATGAGTTCATCAAAATAAAAATATTTCTAAATGGAATTTTCCTGCAATGGAAGTTGGGATAGTTTATTTTCAGAAATTGAAGAAATTTGTCACTTGTGATTATTAAGTCTGGCAGGGAATGTGAGCATTTTATTATGATTCAGGTTTTCTGAGTGTGCTCATGTTTCACCTACCTGTTTTCCAACACAAGGATCACAGTCTGACCATGGTCCATAATCTCCCAGGAGGCAGTTGATAGGACAAGTTTGCCAGTTACACTGTCGGGTCTCCTGCTTGGTGCAAAGCTGATCACAAGAGTACGCCAAATAGTACTGATCTACTACTATTTGTCTGTAACAGTAAGGAAAAGGCTGCTTAGAATGAATGTGTTTACAGTGACTCTAAGTCCACTAAGCATTAATGTCATTAAGCATTAATAAAGGAAAGAATGTTTCATAGAAAATCGGGCAGGTTGGCATATGTGCAGTTGTGACTACTTAATGGAATTCAGAACTGGATGTACAATTTGTGGGGCCTAGTGCAAAATAAAAATGGGAGGGTCTCTTGTTTGAAACTGAAAATTTCAAGACAGTGACAGTAGAACATTAAGCCAAACTCAGAGACCTTCTGAGTGTGGGATCCTGTGTTCCTACATAGGTCACACATCCATAAAGCAGGTTCTAATGAAATTTCTGGGAGGGACTAGAAGGCAAAGACAAGAAAGAAGAAAGTGCCTTCAAATTGCTTAACAGATGACACCACAATGTAGTAAGAGCAATGGTGGAGAAAGAGTGACAGTGCTGGGGGCCAAAGATTCAAAGAGAAGGTGACAGGAGATATACCTTGGAAAGCTCTGGGAATGCTCAGACAACAAAGGGAAGGGTGGGTGCAGAGACTCAAGCAGAGGAGCATACCATGTCCATGCAGGAGTTTGTGGGATGGAGCTGAGAAGTACAAGATGGAGGTGGGTAGAACACCTTGTACTTTATTTCGTAGCAGTAGAGAGCCACTGAGGGCTCTTGAGTAAGAGGAGTATCATAAGCAAATCTGTTTTACACTTAGTGGATGGCTTGTTGCAGGAAGTCAATGGGTGATTTGATAATACATACGGAAAAATAATTTCCTAAAATAAGACTCTAAAAAGTACAGTAACAGTTAAAACACATTAAATATATGTCTTTCTACCCAAAGTCATGTGAACATCTCCATGGTACTTTAGAAACCTCTAACAAATTTAAAGAAACTGTGGGGGCTGAGTAATCTGAATTGGGGAAAAGACTGAATTATTAAATGTTATCAGTAAACACAGTCTTCTTGCCTTCTTGTACATGCCAACAATCAAACAAATAGCTAGCAATACTGCTCAATTGAGGTCCTGTTAATCTCAGTTTAATGAGTAGAAAATTCTCTATAATTTACTCACTAACTGTAGGCAAGCAGTTAGAGGCTGACTGTAAAAAAGCTTGAGTTAAATAGCTGAAAATATTACAGATTCTTAGTTAAATTTCTTTGAAATGCCTCAACTTTATGGAGAACAAAAGTAGACTTCATTTCAATCTTATGTTGAAAAGACCTCAAATTCCAACCAAATGGAATTCTTACTTTTAGATATATTTTTCCCGTTGCTTAGGGTAGCACTCCTGATATTACTGTAATTAACAGTTCCCATGACTGGAAGAAAAGCTACATCATTAACACTCACCTTTGTCTACTCTGGATTCCAGAATTACAAGTTTTTGAGCAGCTCGACCACTGAGTCCATGAGTAATGATCACAAAAACAGGTTTGGCTCTTGTCAATCACAATACTCAGTAGGATGAAAAACAAGATGGAGTATCTAGCCATGTCTTGAGAGCCTCTAGGCCCTGAAAAGGAATGGTATTTTATATATATATATATATATATATATATATAAACATACATACATATATATATATGAAAAACACAAGTATACACCTTCTTTAAATATATACACATAAAAGTGAACATCTGGTGCCTACTACTCTGAAATTTTCTTTTTTCACTTCATAATATACTTTGAAATCTTTGCATATTACTAGATGCATACCTATTTCATTCTTTTTAATGGCTGTATTTTTTTTTTTCAAATACTAGCAGGCTTTTATTTTATAAAATTGACAATTTGGTTCTTAAGTAGTGGGAGATGACATATCCATTCAAAATAAAACAATCTTGTTTTTCCATACTTATTTTCTCCATATACATCTTTCCTTACTTTTCCCCATGTCGAGTTGGTTCATTACAAATGGCACTCCATGTGGTGTCTTGTGTCTTGCTTCTCTTGGGTTAGACAGCAGGAGGCACCTGAGGAGATTAGTGTGCAATTAATCCTCCATTCCCTCCATTCCCAAATCCTCTGCCTCCCATCTTTGCTAGTTTTAGCAGTTGCCATTTTCTGTGATCACAGCTCCTGACGAGCAGCCCCCCATTTATGTGACTGTTGCCCCATTCCTCCCCAAGGCACTTGCATTTCTATAGTGGAGTGGTTACCACCACCAGCACCAGGCCCTCCATGCTCTAACATTCCTATTAAATAACACAATTCCCACATCCGAATGCTCCTCTCAAAGACTAAGTCTTTGCAGAATGAATGTGCTTTTAGTTTCTGGGACCCTGATCATTGTCTTGAAATCTTGGTGAACAGATCTGTGATACTTTCACTTGCTATATAAGAATATTCAATGGAAGAATTAATATACACACTGAAAAACTGGAAATATATCTGAACAGCTGGAAGTAATGCTATTAACGTCTCAACAGATAAATACATTGAATAAAAAAGTCTGCCTTCAGGGAAAAAGAATTTAAAATTGTCTTTTCTCCATATTGTCTATCCTGGATTCTTTTTTTTTTTTTCTTTTTGGCATAGTTTTACCTGTTGTATATGACTGGCCTCAACTTTATCTTAATTGTGGATATTCTGCATATGCACACACTGCAATAAGCATCTTTGTCATGTATCTTAGCATATTTTTGTATGCACATCAATGGAACAGAATTTTAGCAGCAGAATGGTTCAAATGATACATAATTTTAAATTTTTGATAGGTGTTACCAAATTGCCCTACTAAAATATGGCTCAAGAGTTTTAGAGGGTTTTTTAAAGTGGTTACTTTATGTTTCTTAGCTATGATAAAGGATACTTTAAAAAAAATGAAGTTCATCATTTTTAAAATTTTCATTCAAGCCCAAAACTTGAGATCAGATATAAAAATTGTTTCTCAAATATGCTCAGAAATTAGAATTTCTTAATAAATCGGTAAGCTTTTTGAATTCTCCTACAAATCAGAGAAAAATACTGGAATAAAAGCAACCAAATTCACTGACATTATGTCTGAACATGTCCTTCAATTTAAAATGGAATTGACATACATTTGAGTGTCTCTTCTGTGACACTCACATTGAGTGAGATACAAAGAAATAGAATCCATTATTGCTTTCTGGGGAAAGTAGACAGAAACTGAAGATGCTTCCCCATGTCTTTTATCCAAGGATTTTTATCCAACTCATAGATAAACCACTGCAACCACAGGCTATTTTAATCATAAAATGAGAGCCTCCTTTAAAGATCTCTACACTTGCCTGTTGATCTTAGTTCACCGGTAAGTAACACACCTTTCCTGGTTTTCCTCAGCAGCATAGAATCACAGCACATTAGGACAATGGTGTCCAGACAGAATTTAGGCTGTGATTGAGTCCCAATCTTCAGATACAAGCTCTGGATTGGGGAATTTTTCACTGACTTCAAGAGCCTTTGGGAGCTGAGGTTCCTAAACAATGGGAAGCTTTCCTGTTGGCTACTAGACAGACTACCACCCAATGTCCCTCTCCCCAGTTTGGGATCTTCTCATACCGGAACCATTTCAACAAGGAAAACTAAACGGAGGGGTTTCTTGTGGTTCTTTATTTATTGGTTTTTCTTATTAGATGCTGAAGTGATAGCTTCCCAAGCAATTCTCTCAATTGGAGGGAAAACAAATTTCTTAAAGCATTTTATGAAATTATCATGAAATGATTGGGAGAAGGAGAATTAAAAGAGATTATCAGTGCTCAGCAGATATTATCTGTTGTAACTGCAAAAGGTTTGAAAAGTATAGGTGATTTTTATTTCAATTATCATCAAAGACTGCAAAAATAGAGCCATTATAACGTATTCTGATCTATTTGGCCATAACTGTTCTGAGGCAATTTGGAAAATGGTATAAATTAAGATGGTAACGTCAAAGATTCTTAATTCAGAAATGCTAATAAAAGAGCTAATTGGTAGCTTCTTTATAATATAATATTGTTATGAGTAAGAATTGTTTTATATTAAAAGGATAATTTTCATTCAAATAGAGATAATTATTTCTCTAACTTTTTATTACTAATGTGACTCATATAACATCAAATGGATCCTTATTTATAAATTTCCAACATCTCTAGGTATTTGGAAGTTTATCTAAAATTATGTATGGACAGTTTACCATTACCATACAATTTTCATACAAACATGTAATAAGGGAATTTTAGTGAACAGTAGAAAATAGGAAAAATATTCCACCACATTGCCACACAAGAAGAGCAGCAATTCTCTAATTTTCTTATAATTTCCATCCCTTCTTAAACTCTTAAAAATCAGTGACCCCACTGAACCATTGAAGACAGCATTGTAGAACATTTAGAGAATTCTAGTGTAGAGAGCAGGTCATCTTATTCTGACCTGTTTTGTTCTGAGATACTAACCCCATGAAGAAAGATTTGACCAGAAGGCAATTCAACACATCTTACCCCACAGGTATAGACTATGATCTACTTTGCTTTCAGCCATAAGTTCTTCCTTTCTATCTGTTCAAAAATTTCTTGAATCTCTTAGCTTTTTCTCCTGTGTGTGCTCCTGAAGCTAAAGAAATTATATTTACCATTGCTCAGATAGATTGGGGGAGCCCAGACACAAAACTGATCTTTTAGCTAGCGGCTCAATTGTTTTACTTTTAACTATAGTTTAACTCATAGAAAAACTTGATCTCAACAAAGCAGTTCACTGAAAAAACATTTTTCTAACAAACATGAAACTTTGGTTCTTTTATAATATCAACAATGTAGTTATTTCTTGTTTTAAAAGACAAAGATATTCATGCTCAGTGAAATAAGCCAGAAGGAAAAAGAAAAATACCGGATGGTCTCACTCATAGCAGGAATCTAGAAAACCTAAATAAGGGACCAGGAAAAAGAATAACTATAAGAAAGAAAAAATCAAAATCAACAAACAACTATGAACCAGAGACACACTATGGGGGGGTGGTGCGCACGGAAAAAAGGGATTGGGATCAAAATAAGGGGGTTGCAATTGTATGGGGAATATAAAAATAAATAAAATTAAATTAAAAAAGATAAAGAAATGACTATAATCTGAGTTATGTATTGTCATGCATGAAAAAGTAAATTTGTTAACAACATGATCTACCATTTTGTAATATGAAGATTATAAATAAAATGACTTTGTCACTCACCTTTAAGCAGTCTGTGGTGTCCAGGGAGCTAGCCTGCAAGTGACTAAGAAACTACAGTTATTCACAATAAAAAGGGTTTGGATGATAATCCAAACAAAATTTCTTTCCCTAATGCTAGCTTCCACAAGGTCACATTCCAGAGATCTAAAAACACCTAGAATGTTGACAATATAAACATTCTGTGGAAACTCTGAACTTTGAAAATGATTACTTCAATCTGCAGTAACCCTGAAACTCTGAGGGAGATATTACACAGGGTCCTGAATTTTCAATGATTTTTCCACTCAAGGGGTATTGGAATAGGTATTGCTACTGCATTAACAAAGAAATAAAAACCAATAAAAGAACAACTCTGATTGCATTTATTCCTCTTTGATTGCTTAAAATCACCTTTCCCTTTAGTAATGTATACCCATTTAATTAAACTATGTATAGATTCTTTATATTCCTGATTAGAATATGTATTGAGGAAGATTTCAAAAATTGGAGAAGTATGAAAAAAGTTAAAATCATTTTTCATAGCCAGACAAAACTACTACTACCACATGGGGTAAATACTTCTAGTCAAGTAATGCTATAATGTACAAGTCTCCCTGTATAAGTATTCATACAAACATAGATAAAAAGTAACTTTTAAGTGATATTACACATCTTTTTGATCTAAATGCATGGAATTGATCACATTCCACAATTTGCAGAACCTTATCATCATTGATCTGTACAAAATCTTTTATTGTATGTCACTATTTCACTAGATTAGTTACATGTATTAATGTATTTGATGTTTGTCCTTACATAGGATTATTAGGATTATGTATATCCCCAAATAAAAAGGCTCATTTTCCATTATTTATATTTATACTTCTAGATTTTATTTTTATTTCATATTATATATAATTGGCATATTAATATTCATTATTTACTAATTAAAAATTAATAATATTCCAAGAATTATTATGTGTCATGTACAATTTTATGTTCTGTTTATATATTTGTACTTTGTTGCTATAATTTAGAGAAACAGTATTTTGCTAAAAGTTTTACTTGATTTCTTCATTCAACATTATGCTTCTGAGTCTTATTCAATATAAACCTACCAGAGCCTAGAAATTTATAGCATCACATTTATTTTCCCTATTCACTTTGTATGCAATTTTGTTGCCTTTAACTATCTGTAACTATAATATAGTCTTCCTTTTGAGCTTGTGAGAAAATTCATAAAGACTTCCAGACTGTTCTTTATAAAGCCTACACATTTAAGCTCTGACCAGCAGTGTCCGAGGGTGTCTCACTAGTCAGTTCTTAACTAACATTAGTTGCCTGTCGATCAACAGATACTACATCGGATGTATGTAAAGTGACATCTCATGGCTGTTTGAGAAGCATGTCTCTGATCAGTAGCGAACCTCAGCATCCCTGGATTTTTGCCAGACATTCTGATTTCCCATCTGTGAATTCATATTCATTGCTTATCTTTTATTGTGCTTCTTTACTTATTTTTTGTTTCCCAATTTGGAATTTTGTGTGTATTATCAAGTCATATGCAAATAGTATAGCTTTATTTCCTTTCCAATTTGGATAATTTTTATCTTTTAATAGATCTTATTAGGACTTCCAACACTATATTGGATAATAGTGGTGAGGGGGACATCCTTGTCTTATTCCTGATCTTAGAGGAAAATTATTCAGTTTTTACCACTGAGTATAACCTTGGCTATAGGTTTGTTATACATTTATTATGTTGAGGTATGTTCCTTCCTTCTTTCTATTGTCATTCTGTTATACACTGTTGGTGGGAATATAAATTGGTATAGCCATTATGGAAAACAATATGAAAATTCCTCAAAAGATTAAAAACTAAAATTCATAAGGTCCAGTTATCCCACTGTTAAGTATCCTCCACCAAATGCAAAACCACTAATTCAAAGGGTTGACTGCAACATGTTTATTGTAGAACTACTTATAATATCCAAGAACTGAAATCAATCTAAATTGACAAATGACAAATTGAACTCAAATCCATCAGTTGACAAATGGTTAAAGAAGATGTGGCCTATATACATAATGGAATAATATTTAGCTATAAAAGCTATGAAAGGATGAAATGTTGCCACTTCCAACAACATGGGCCTAGAGGGAATTATGCTCAGTGAAATAACCAGACAGAAAAAAGACAAACATTGTATGTGGTACTATAGAGAAAACAAACAGAAGAACCAGTCAAACAAAAATAAACTTTTGAACTATAAGACCAATTAGTAGTTTTATTGGACAATGGTATATTGATGCGTAGATTTGGAATTTCAGTGGTGAAGTTCATGTAGCATATAAACAGGCTGATTCTCAACAATGGATGTCTAAAACATCTATCACTATAATGCAATGTCATGTCAATAAAATAAGTTTTTGAAGTACAGGTGGGAACTGCCACTCCAGTCACATGTTTTAACATGTGTAGTAGTGACTTGCCCAAGACCAGAGTAAGGAAGAACCAGAACACAGTTACATGCTTATAGTATGTTTTGTTTCTTCTATAATGTACTGAGACTTTAAGGATTGACATTTCAGGCCAAGAAGGAAAGCAGACTGGTATACTACAAACCAGTGTGGAAGACTGAACTAATGAAACAGTTACTCCTTTGAGTATCTGAGACGATAAATAGGAAAGAAAGTATTTGGTGACTGCACAAGTAAACATATCATTTATGTATGTACACTTTTTTCCTAGTTGGTATGCTGGAAATCCTAAAATTAGATTCACTTTTTTTCCTAAGGTGATTGAGTTGGAGTTTTTAAAGTGACATAGAATACCTTTTTCATACAGAATGTTCTGTGGGTTTCATAATATAGAAAGTTGCTAGTGAGCTTAAATGCAGACTGACCGGTAGAAAAAAAAAACCTTTAATTGCAAAGGAACATAAGGGTGTAGGAGGAAATTAGAGCCAGGACATGGAAAGTTAAGATGGAGCAATTACCATTTTTCCAGAAGGAGAATATGTATTCTGTTAAATCTTTATTCCTCTCCTAATGATGATAGATTCATAGCCAAATGGTACTTTCTGCCAAGAAAATAACCCCAAACATAAGATAATGAACAGTGGAAGCTGCTATCTGTAGGCTTTTTCATATGCTAAGTATTCACATGCCAACTTATCATTACAGCAAAAATACCATAATTTCTCATTAGATCTGAAGCTAATGACCATGTCTATTTCACAAGCCCTTTAGAGTATACTTTGTCAGTCAGTGTATGAGTAGATAAAATGAAATTGCAAATTGAATTATTTCACTTTAGAGAATTATTTCACTTCAGAAAAGATCAAAACTCTTAGTTGGAGGAACAGGAAGTTTGCTTTGGTCTCAAGCTACCATGCTCATTTCCTTTAATACTAAAATTTTAGAAGGATAGGTGAAATTAAATACATTTAATTTCTTACCATCGACTCCTTATTAACTTCACTCTTTGAAACTTGGTTATAAATACAACCAACCTAAGGATTATTCTATCAATGACCACCAGCAACCTAACTGACAAGCTGAAGGACTGCTTCTCAATCTACTCTTGGCTTCCTGAACACAGTGCAATGCACATTTTTTAAGGAAAATCCTCTTTTTCTTCCCTTTTGTAATTCTCTTCCTATTCCCATGTGAAATTCTCATCAATCTATTTTCTTTAACAGGTTATTTCATCTACTTGCATACAAGTACCCATCATTTTTTTATCGATTGCAGTTGAACAGTGAACAAAAGAGAAAAATATATTGTCATGTAAAATTTATTATCTAATGGATGACGAGAATACAAATATGCAAATTATATAGCATTTTAGAAGCATTTAATTTTTTTTTAAATACTACATCTTCTCAAAATTCAGATTACTTTTTTCTGCCACTATTTTCTTTTGCCCCTATGATTTTGTGGAAAAAATATGACAAGTTGCTTTAGAAAATCTAAGTCTATAAGAACCTGCTGAGTTAGCTGCAGATGTTAATGATTCTGCACCTTGGTGATTTGCTTACTTCAGTACACTAGATAAAACCAATATTAAATACTTAAATTAACTTAAATATGTAATATTTTAAAATTAATAACTTGGAAGGTATATAATAAAATGCTGTAAGAATAACAAAGTACTATGAGAAAGTAAGAAGGACACGGAATTTAGGTTTGGAGGTCAGGAAAGCAAGAAGGGCAAACATTTAAGCTAAGATTTATTAGATGAAAAAGGGCCATACCAGTTAGCAAGAAGAGTGGAGGAAGACATAAAGAATGAGAGCTATGAATTATTTCCTTCAAGCTTGAAAGGATGTTGAAAGCTTTGTTGTGATAGTCCTCATACCTTCCGCAAACCCCAGTTTTATTGATGTGTAAGTGACAAATAAAATTGTAAGATTTAAGTGTACATCATGGTGATTTGATGATTCATGGAAGTATTGTGAAAGGAATCCTACAGTCTGGTTAATTAACACATCAGTAACCTTAACATCTATCTATCTGAATATTTAAATTCTACTCTTTCAGCAAATTTCAATTATATAATTGTTAGCAACTCTAGTTACCACATTTTACATTAGATTCCCATAATCTTACTCACTTTAGAGCTTAAAGTTTGTATCCCTTTACAATCTTTCCCTGTTTCCTCCCCTACCTTAGCAACCACTTTTCTATGAGATTAACTTTTTCTGTTTTTTTTTCTTCATATTTTAGACTCCACATTTGTGATGTTATGAGTTATTTGTCTTTCTCTTTCTGGCTTATTTCACTTGGATCTTGCCTTCCTGGTTTTTCTATACTGTCACAAATGGCAAAATTTCCTTCTTTCTCATGTTGAATAATATTCCTTTATGTACATGTATCATCATTCTTTATTCATTGATCAACTGAAGAATACACTGAGGTTGTTACCATATCTTGGCTTTTGTGAATAAAGTAGCAATAAACATGAGCATGCAGATATTTCTTTAATATTCTGTTTTCATTTCCTTTGGCTATACACCCAGAAATGGGATGGCGGGATCATATGGTAGTTCTATTTCTAATTTAAGGAAGCTTCATACTATTTCTATAATAGCTACATCGATTTTC